ATTGAACTAAATGTTAACAATTATTAAACATATTCAGTTAAAATCTCCGTAAAATTTATAAGTAAAACACTGTCCTTCAAACACAATGCCTGTTCTTAAAAATGATATTTGTGAACACAACAATCAGGCACAAGCAAACCTCTTCTGCCTGTTAACAATATTAAAATCCTTTACTTCTTCTCTTACCTTCCAGCTCTCAGCTGGTCTTCATTTCAGCGTTCACCAAGAATCAGAGATGGACACCTTTGTGAAGTTTGACTTGCAGATCCGCAGGTAAGGAACCTTTACTCCCTGTGTTTGTTTACCTATCTAATATAATGGTTATTTAAGTGGATGGACAAAAGAAGTAGAAATTATGGTGGTCGGTGAAACTATAATTACTGTTAAGTCTCAATTAGCACTATGGAAACTGGGAGAATTTATCCCATAGGCCAGGGTTTCTTAAACTTTTACCTGTAGCCTTGGATGTGATGTCCGCATATAAGATTGTCTGCTGTCTCTTCCAAAGCTGCTGTTCTGAAATTGCACTACTTGTGCCGAGTCAGGCCTTTGTGGCTAATCCATTGTGTTTTGAACACAGAGCCTTCAGTCTTGAATCTTATCTGCCTATATCTGAATGTTTGAGCTGTAAAAGGAAGATATTGATTTGCAAGGCTCTTAACATGAGAGCTACAGACGAAGGGGAAACAGAGAGAGGGAGAGGCTATGTATGTTCAAGGGATGTCTCAAGTGACTGTTTTGAGAAAATGGAAAATGAAAGATCAGGTCCTTCTATCATCCATAGCACTCTTCTCAGGGATAGTAGTTTTGGGGGTGTTCATTCTGGAGTGTGAGGGGCTCTAACCTAGATATGGGTCTTACGAGAGAATGGTTAGTTTTGTTAGTTTAAGTGATTGCACATTTTTCATTCTGTTACTTTGTTACTTTATTTTTAATATGTTGTGGTTATGACTTCTGTTGATTGTGTATTTTTTCTTGTAATGGCTTTGCATTTTTGTACATTCCTGTGAATTCCTCCCACACACACACACACCCAATTTATTTTTTTGTTCAGCTTTTCATGGCATTGGATGTTTACCAATATCTGTT